ACACTCTCAAAAAAAAAATGTTTTTTTTTTTTTTTTTTTTTTGAGAGGTTTTTGCTATAGGGTGCGTGTGCTCGCCAGACAGACAGAGAGAGACAGAGAGACAGAAAGCGAGAAATCATCCCCAGGGGGGATGGCCACACTGCAATCCCTTCTCCTCCATTCTCCTCTTGGAATCTTGGGCATGCACACACATGCGCCCGGCGTGAATTTTAAGCCACCGGGTCCAGGACGTGAACCACGGTCAACTACATGGGAATCCAGCGACATAGCCATTATGCTAACTGCTGGACCCCAAAAATGTATTCTTTTGACCCTTGTGTCTTTTTAAAATTCATAGTTATGTGTACAGTCCTGACTGGATTCAGGTTTGCATTTTTCTTCCTTCAGCAATACTGTTCAACAGTGGTGCTGTGAGCTCCCATCAGGGAGTACCAATCTCTTCTCTCCTTGTGATGCTTGCACTGACAATCACTGTCTAGATTCTTGAGTTTATCAGAGGTTGTAAGATGCTGGTATTCTGCTGATATTGTTCTGCTTTGTTAGGTGGAATACTTCTAAAGGACAACTTTCTCTTATCAACTATTATCCTGAAATATAGTTTACACAGGAAAGGTAAGATAAATGTGAATTTCCTCTATTTATCAGTTTTCAGAATAATGAAGTGGTTCTCTTGAGTCCTCTAAAGGTGACCAATGAGTTTTTAAACACCATGAACTTACGATTTCAATGTATCAAATACTTTATTTAGTACATTACAATTATCAATCCAGTGGTGCTCAAAGTATCCCACTTTCGGTCAGTGGACATTTATTAAGGGTGGTCACTGAGTCCTTTTGTCATAATTTCATTAACTTTTTTTTTTTTTTTTAGGAAAGATTTTTGCTATAGGGCACATGTGCTCACCAGAGAGACAGAAAGCAAGAAATCACCCCACCCCACCCCCCAGGAGGATGGCCACACTGCAATCCCTTCTCCTCCATTTTCCTCTCGGGATTTGGGTATGTACCCATATGCCAACGTGAGTTCCAAACTGCTGGATTCAGGACTCCAACTATGGTCAACTACACGGGAGTTCAGCGACATAACCATTACACCATATGCTGGTCTCGTGTTAATTTTTTATACCTTTCTTATTTTTTGCTACATTTTTGGTCTTGTTTATCTTTGACAAGATATTCTAGGCTCATATGTTACCTTTCTCTTCCAAGATCTGGCATAACACATTTTCCAAGGAGCACTGTTTTTTTTACGGAAATAATATTTAGAGACTATAATTTATGCACCAGAATAGCTCAGTGCGACTGGGTCACTGGGTCATTTTCAGTATCAGACCAAAACCAAAACCAAAACCAAAACAAACCTCATATATTTATGTGTGTGTGTGTAAAACTATGTATGTATATAACAATTAAAATACTTCATGAGTTTGCACAGGGCGATGCACTCATAAGAGAAAGACAGTGAGAGATGATCACTCAAGGAGGATGGCCATGCTGCATTCCTTTCTCCTACACTCTCCTCTCAGGATTTTTGCGCACACATGAACACACACCCTACATGATTTTCAAGCTGCTGGGTCTGGGACTTGAATCACAGTTGACCATGTGGGAATTTAGTGCCTTAGACACCATGCCATCCATGGGCCCCAACCTCATGAATTTGTACTCATACTTCTAACTCAAAATCATGACTAAAGTGGGGACAGCAGGTGGCATGGTGATTAAGGGCACTGGACTCCCACATGGCTGACCATGGTTCAAGTCCTGGACCTGGTGGCTTGCTTTCTCACTTTCCTTCTCTCTCTCTTTCTCTGTCATGCTCTGTCCCTCTCTGGTCAAACTAAAACACACAAATAAACAAATAAATAAAGTTAAATAAAACATTAAAAAAAATTAGGACTAAAGAGTAAATTAATCTTAATTTTATGTACTTATCATTTATCAACCATACAAGTTCTTAATTACTATTTTGATTTATGCCACAATATACATGTAATAGCTTCAGAAGAACAGTACCAACACTACAAATCTATTAATTGGGATTAATGAAAATAGACAATGACTCTTTTGGGGGCTGGGAGAGGAATAAGTAACTTTTGTCTTTAGTATACCCTATGGTCTATATGTATAAAGAGTCCTCTAAAAGTTAATAGAAAATGTGTATTATTTTAAAATTATGCATTAACTTCAAAAATATTTTTCATCAAAATAAACTCAAGTTTTAATTCCATTTTCCACAAACTTTTATAAGACCCCATATATATATATATAGTATATATTTGGGCGTGTACATACACGCACATACACACTTCTACTTCTCCATTGGTCTTTTCTTTCCTTTGTCCCATTTTCTTGCTCAAATTGAACTCTATGTCCAGTAGTTACTCTCAGTGTGGCGCCATGAGAAGGAGCTTCAGTCCTCTATTAAGAAGGTCCGTGGCTAGGACAACATCCATATGAGGGAACATAAGCATATCACAGATCTGCATTTAGCTATGAACTGCAACCTTTTATTACTCCCTTCTCAATTTTGGTTGCCATTCTCTGATAGGCCAGCATGCTCTAGTGAAACACTGCTGCCAATATCTATTCTCGGAGCTGCCAGAATTCCAGTCAGCTCTCCCTCTTCATCCTCCCACACAAATGCCAACGCCATAAGGATCCTCGTATGTGGTAAGCACCACATGCTCATATTTGGGGCTGCAAAGGTATAACAAGTCACCTACTTGTGTTGTAGATGTTGACTGTGTAGTCTTTAGTTTTACTATTCAAATTGCTCTGTTTTCATAGTGGGTTTCCAGTAGTCCAGAAAACTATGCTGTTGTCATTTGCCCAGAATCTTCTTTAATTCGGTCTTTTGGTTAATTTATGTATTTTTAACTTTCCATGCTTTCTAAACTTATGAGATACGTTTTATTTCTACCTTGGTTGTTTCTCAAAGTATTTTTATGTTTAGCAGTATGAATTTTATCTATTGATAGATATCTTCAACATTCACCTGTTTCTTATTTCCTTAATGCCAGTAAATTTATGTGCTCCAACTTTTAATTTTCCCTTTTCTTCTTTTTAATTTCTTTTTTTTTTTAAGAATTATTTATTATTATTTTTTTAGTTTGAACAGAGGGAGACAGAGACAGACAGAGAAAGTGAGAAAGCAAGCCACAGCTCCAGGACTCTGACCATAGTCGGCTATATGGGAGTCCAGCACCTTAACCACTACGCCACCTGCTGGCCCCAATTCTTTTCTTTTCTTAAACCTTAAGTTAACTAGGCTTTATGAAAATTTGAGAACACACTAACAAATTTAAAATGGACAAGAACACACCTAAAAGAAAAATATTCAAAATTATAATATTCATTAAGAGAAAAATAATTTACTTAGCTAAAAACTACCTTATATCAACAAGGGAGCATTCCAAAGATAATCTTCCCATTGTCTTCAGATTTTCTTGAAGATCTCTTAAACAGTTAGTATTCACTACTACTTCAAGACCCACGTCATATAGTAAGACCTATAAAAACAATAACTTTAAGTCTATAGAAAGACAACACTTGAAAATATGTTTTTGTGAACTGAAAAGCGTAATAAACATTGGAATAATTCCAGGAAAAAGTACAAAACACATTTATTTTCATGATTATACTTTTACTCTGCATTTACCTCTACTAATGTATCTGTGACCATTCTGATGATCTGGCCTCTTTGCCACTGATTTTCACCTGGGATCTTAACAGCACAGTGCATATCATTTTCCCATTTAATAGGTTCCCATGTCGAGTTTTCATAAGCAGCTGTCATCTTTTCCTCTAAACTATATAAAGATAAGAAGCATTTCACTTTCTAACCTTTTCTTATACAGTTCTCTGACCACATGTTTTCTACTCTTCCCATGTCTCCACCTTAGGTCTTTGAACTAGCTCTGTCTTAGGTGAACTTCCCTCAGACCACCATATGGCTTACTCCCTCCCCCCTCCTATACACCCATTTCAAATATCATTATCTCCCAAGGTCTTCTTTGACTATGCTGAAATTGCCTTCCTCCCCAAATGCTGTATTTTTCTCTACCACCTTTATTACCCTCTGCCACATTAAACATTTGATCTGTTCACTGTATCTTCTTCTACTAGATTTTAAGCTCCATGGCAGCAAAGGCTTGTCCATGTTTTTACCACCATATCCCCAAAACCTAGAATATTGGTGGTTACATAGCAGGTGTTCAGTAAGTATTTATGAAATTAATAAATTTTAATATAGTGCAAATAAGCAAAAAAGATACTATTTTCATACTTATAAATTCAGAAACTATTTAGTTGAAATACTTTTGCTACTTTTAAAATTCATGACTTCTATATCTTTTTTTTTTTTTTTTTTGGAGAGGTTTTCACTTTAGAGCACGTGCGCTCACTAGACAGACAGAGAGAGACAGAGAGACAGAAAGCGAGAAATCATCCCCCAGGGGGGATGGCCACGCCGCAATCCCTTCTCCTCCATTCTCCTCTCGGGATCTTGGGCACGCACGCACATGCGCCCGGCGTGAGTTTTAAGCCACCAGGTCCGGGACGCGAACTGCGGTCGACTATGTGGGAGTCCAGCGACATAGCCATTACGCTAACTGCTGGTTCCCAATGACTCCTATATCTTCTAAACAAAATATAGAAAGAATATATGCAATATATTACTATTATGATATTTTCCTTATATATTATACCTATTAAGTAAGTTTTCTGTTAATAACCACTGAACATAAATCTTCTCAGGAGATATTACATTACATATATGCACAGGAAGTTCCTTATTATAAAGTGATTGGAAATTCTCATTAGGTAGAGATTTTGCAGACACAAGATTTATGTTGTTTACTTCATTTGAAATAATTTCTTCTGGAGATGGATCCCATACTTCAGTATGCTTTTCAGAATTATCTCTGAGGGTGTATCTGAAAATTTAACAAAAGTTAACAAAAGAAATAGTTAGCAAAATATTTATGTTTTACTTGTTTAAGTCTAGAGATGAATATATTTTAGCTATGATTTGCTGCTACCCAGTTTCAATAATAATAACAATTTTGATCATTTAAAAAAAGAATTCTTCATCAATACTAAAATACGTAGAAAAGAACTAAAACCAAAACTTTTTACTTGGATCATAACTTTTAATTCTTCACACTGATACGTTGTACTTATGAAGGAACAGAAAACAATTCAGATTTTGGCTACTATAAATATATCTCTTGGCTAAAATAGCAATCCATTTGCCAATAAGAATATAAGTGGAGAGAAAGCATCCAGGCACCTCCACCTCTGCCTGTATTTTTCTTCTGGGTTCAGGTTCACGGTTGTGAAGCCCCCCTCCCCCAGTCAGGGCCCCCTTCCAGACCCCAGTGCTAGTCGGTTAGGCAAGTGTCTCTTTCTTCTTTTCTATTCTTTCTTTTTTTTTCTCTCTCTCTTTTGAAAAAACAAAACAAAACAAAACAAAACGAAAAAAACAGCTTTTGGGACCAGCAGTTGGCATAATGGCTATGTCACTGGACTCCTATGTAGTCGACCATGGTTCGAGTCCCAGACCTGGTGACTTAAACTCAGAATAGGTGCGTGCGCATGTGTGCCCATGATCCTAAGAGAATGGAGGAGAAGGGACTGTGGCATGGCCATCTCCTGGGGGGAAAAGAATAGGCTTACTCTTTTCCTAGTCCACGAAGTGCAGAGTTAGGTTATTTAATATCTTTGCTCTTTTTAATATAGGCATTTATTACCATAAACTTCCCTTTTAGAACTGTTTTACATTCCATAAATTTTGGTAAATTATGTTTACATTTTCATTTATCTCAAAAGATTTTTTGATTTCCTTTTTGATTTATTCTTAGGTCCATTGGTTGATCAAGATTGTGTTGTCATGGGACCAGCAGTTAGTGTAATAGCTATGTTGCTGGACTCCCATGTAGTCGACCGTGGTTCGAGTCCCAGACCCAGTGGCTTAAACTCACGCCAGGAGTGTGTACGTGCATGCCCAAGATCTCGAGAGGAGAAAGGAAGATAAGGGATGCGGCATGGCCATCCCTCTGGGGGGTGATTTCTCGCTTTCTGTTTCTCTGTCTTTCTGGTAAGTGCACGCAACCTATAGCAAAAACCTCTCCAAAAAAAAAAAAAAAGATTGTGTTGTCATTAACTATATTTAAGAAAAATTAACTACTAATTTAATAGGATATCATTACCAATTTTTCTTTAATTTATTTTTCTTTATTTATTTTCTTTTTAGAGATTTTTGCTATAGGGTGTGTACATGCTCACTGGAGACAGAGAGACAGAAAGCGAGAAATTCTCAGGAGGGGATGGCCACACTGCAATCCCTTCCCCTTCATTCTCCTCTCAGGATTTTGGGAATGCATGTGCTCATGTCTGGCATGGTTCAAGCCCCTGGGGCCAGGGTTTGAACTACAGGTGCGCGGTCCAGGATTTGAACTGCAGTTGACCATGTGAGTAGCCACAGCCTTAATCACTACACCATCTGCTGGCCTCCATTACCAATTTTCAATAACTTCATTACTTAGATAATATAAGAAACTAGAAATCAGGACAGCCCATGGAAGGGTGGTTAAGGTGGCTGTATCCTACATGTTCAACTGCACAGCTCAAATCCCAGACCCAGCAGCTTGAGAAACATGCTGGGCACTGTGTGCATACATGCCCAAAATCCTGATAGGAGGGATAAATGGAAAAGAATGAATTGTAGTGTGACCATTCCCCATGAGGGGTGCTGTCTCATGTTCCCTCTCTTTCTGGCTTTCTCTGATTCTGTCCTTCTGGTGAGTGCATGTACCCTCTGGTAAGTTAAAAAAGTGAAAGAAACTGAAAATCATTCCCTGGTACTAGAGCTTTCATAAAAATCTAATTCAGTCAGTAGCTTTACTTTGCATTTTCTATGCAAAAATGCATTGTGACTTTCCTGACAACTGAATATATATTTCAAAATGCTCTTCTGTATTATAGTATGTAACAATATTCACTCTAATCTTTATCTTTTGAGAATGTAAATATCGTATCATCTTCTGGTTCTGATAAAGTTAAAACTACACTTAACCTTACAATATAGAAATCCCAATATTAAGCATTTTATCAAGAGAAAATAATATACAACTTCACAAACACATCCAAAATGGATATAACCCAAATGTTCATCAATTGGTGAATGTATAAATTGTGGTACATCTATATAATGGAATACTAGTCAGTAATAAAAGTAAACTACTGATATATGTAAATGACATGGATGAATTGCAAAAACCATAGCTTAAATGAAAGAAACAAGATACAAAAGGCAATATACTGTATGAATCTATTGACAAGAAGTTATAAAAAGGTCAAAATGATAGGGATAAAAAACAGAACCTTGGTAACTGGGGGTTGGGTGTGAAGAAAGGGGACTGACTTTGGAATGATGGGAATATTATATATTTGACTATAATAGTTATGTAACTCTTTATTTGTCAGAATCTATTTAGGCCCCTAAAAGGGTGAATTATTGTTGTATATAAGTTATATGTCTATAATCCTAAGTTTTAAAAAGAGAAGGGAAAACTCAGTCCAATATAATTTAAATATTTACTCTCATTTCTGTCCCTCCTTTATTCAAGACTTAACGTGGAAAAAAAACCCAGGTTCCTCTTCCTCTGCTTCTAGATCCTCCAGTATTAGGGCAGGTAGAGGAAGCATGACCACAGACCACTAATATTAGTAGAAGTCATTGTGGACATCTGTTGGGTGTCACTGTTTCCCTGGCTCATGTGGATGCTATGAAAACATTGGTACAGGCACTCCTTACTTAACAACCTGCCTATTTAAAAACCACTTGGGCTTAGAACCAGTTCTCCAGCAGGGACAATCCCCTTTCTTAGTCTGTCTTGTTTCATAGTTGGTTAGTATTCACTATAGGAAGTGTTCACAATCATGCAAAACTACATATTTTGTTTATAAATTTGTACTTTTTGTGCACCCATAGAATAAATAAAAATGATTTGGCCAAATTTGTATTATTGTGTACTGATATGTCTTGTCACTGTCACTTATCTAATGTATGTTTTTTGTATGGATAGAATTGCATTATTCTACTGTGGAGTTGTATGATAGCTATTAAAAAATACATATGCTATGGCCCTGTGACACACCATAACATATCCACTTTTTTATTTGAGAGGTTTTTGCCTTAGAATGCATGCACTTGCCTGAGAGAGACAGACACACACAGTAAAAGGAAAAGTGAGAAATCAACTCCCAGGGGAGAAGGCCACACCACAATTCCTTCTTTTCCATTCTCCTCCCAGGATCTTGGGTATACATGCACACACACCTGGTGTGAGCTTCAAGCTACTGGGTCTGGGACTTGAACTGCAGTCAGCATGTGGGAGTGCAGTGATGTAACTGCTATATCATCTGCTGGTCCCAAGATAACCACTTTTAATTAAGTTCCTCATTTATTGACCAATTTGCTTAATGACCTAGTTGTAGAAATAGAATTCAGTTGTTAAGTAAGCAGTGCTTACATTATTGAGGTTATACAAGGTGACTTCAAAAAGTTCATGGAAACTGAAATTAAAATATGAGTTTATTATGGCGAAAAAAAATTTGAAATCCACACGTCTTTCATAATATGTATTTTCCATGAACTTTTTGAAGACCGCATCTGTGTGTGGGGAGGGGAAGCTCTGGAACACCTGCTGGTCCCACACCTTGCAGAGGCTACCCCACCACTCGAGTCCCTACTGTGGAACTCTTTGTCTTGACCTACAAACCCTTCACCCATCCTTATCCTTTCCCTCTGCCCTTCTGCTTTCAGGGTCACCTCAACCACTGCCTGTGGAGGGTATTAGCATGATAGCTTAAACCTGGCTATCTTTAAAAGTATCTACTTGAACCAAAGTAAACTCACATTTCTCCAAATAAAAATGTGGGCTATTCTACTACTATGCTTATTCTCTACCTTGTCATTTTTCCTCCTAATCCTCTTCACAAATGGGCACAAAGAGCTGCCTAAGCAGGTATCTAAAAATAAGGTAGATACTTTCTTAGAAGCATCTTAGATGCTTTCTTAGAATCATACTTGGGGGCCGGCAGATGGCGTGGTGGTTAAGGACTCCCACTTGGTCTACTGTGGTTTGAGTCCCGGACCTGGCGGCTTGAAACTCACCCTGGGTGCCTGTGCGTGTGTGCCCAAAATCCTGAGAGGAAACTGTAGGAAAAGGGGTTGCGGGATGGCCATACCCCCACCCCCCAGGGTTTGATTTCTTGCTTTCTGTCTCTCTCTCTCTAGCAAGCACATATACCCTATAGCAAAAATCTTTCTCTCTAAAAAAAAAAAAAAAGCAGCAGCCTTGATCTTTCCTTTGGTTTCAGGGTTCTTTACAGTTGGAGGGAAAAGCCACTCTAGTCCCTATTAATAATTCCAATGATTGCATGCCCAAGATCCCAAGAGGAGAATGGAGGAGAAAGGACTGCGGTGTGACCATCCCCCCTGGGGGGCGATTTCTCACTTTCTGTCTCTCTGTCTCTCTCTGTCTTTCTGGTGAGTGCACACACCCTATAGCAAAAACCTCTCAAAAAAAAAAAAAGCCCAATGATTTTCCCTCTATTTTTTTCTGACCCAAGGCCATGATTTGAATGTTTCCACTCAAAATTTACGTTAAAATTTGGTTGTGATGGGATTAAGGGAACAAAATATTAATCCAACTATGAAAGGTAGGGCCCTGAGAAGTAATTAGGGTAAGATCATCAGGATGGGGCCCCATAACTAAATCCTGGAAGGTTTACATAGACAGGAAATGAAAGAGAGACATAAGCACAGACAGGCAAGCTCTTGCCATGTGATGTCCCACACCACCTTGGGACTCTATGGAGTCTCCATCAATAAGAAACCCCTAACCAGATGTGGTCTCCTTAACCACAGACCTACAAAACCATGAGCTAAATAAATCTCTATTCTTTATAAATTACTCAGCATGCTATCTAGTTGTTAGCAGAAAAGTAGACTAAAACACCCGGGAATAAAGAAAATTTCCAAGTCTTTCAGCTTAGGCAGACAGTCAATGGCAAATGATATGCCAGTTTCTTCTGTGATTAAAATGCAACATATGAACTAAAAATGAAAATTTATATGTCTACTTACCCTGCTTCATAAGATGCTAGGCCCTCTTTCACTAGCTGATCATTAATACTAGTAGGAGTCATCCCAGGACCACCAAGAGAATCGAAAAGCTCAACTAAGAGCATATTATCTTCTAGAATTTCTGTAAAACGATTAAGACTCATTTGGAGAAAGAAATATGAAGCAAGAATGTACTAAACAGGGCAATTTTTTAAAAGTCAGAAAATTTCTTTCTTTCATTTTGCACATATGAGATTTCTTGTGGAATAATGTTATACCCTTCTTTGGGGGAGTTAGAGTAGTTTGCAGACACAAATGAACTGTCGATGTTATCTGCAGCATATGCAAATGAATAAATTTTTAAAAATAATTACTAATTCTAATTAATTAATTAATTTATATTTGATCAGAGAGAGAGAGAGAAAGAGAAAAAGAGGGAAAGTGAGAAAGCAAGAAGCCAGGTACAGTGGCCAGATCCGGGACTCAAAACACGGTAGGCCATGATAGGGGAGTACAACACCTTTACCCCCATGCCACCTGCTAATCCTTAACATTTTAATTTTAGATTGGGCACTATTTATTCTATATGAACCAAAAGCAGCTTAAAATCTTTAGATTCAGAAAAATGTAGGTTAATTTATGTTCACTGTAGAAGTATCCTGTCATGTCATGTTTTCAAACTGTTTTTTATGGGATTCAACAACGTTCCAGGAGGACAAGAATTAATGAAAGTTAAACCAGGTCACTAATTATTTGTGAAGCTTTACAGCTTTTGTAAGATTTTTTTCTATGCCATTTTTTTTTTTGGGAGAGGTTTTCGCTATAGGGCATGTGCGCTTGCCAGACAGACAGAGAGAGACAGAGAGACAGAAAGCGAGAAATTACCCCCCAGGGGGGATGGCCACACTGTAATCCCTTCTCCTCCCCTCTCCTTTGGGGATCTTGGGCATGCATGCACATGTGCCTGGCATGAGTTTTAAGCCACCGGGTCCGGGACGCGAACCATGGTCGACTACGTGGGCGTCCAGCGACATAGCCATTACGCTAACTGCTGGTCCCTATGCCATTGTTTTTTTAGGACAAACCATCTAATTTTTAATTCTTTTAGACAAGAAATTGGTAACAGTTTATCAGATCTACTTAAACTAGACTGGGAGTTAGCTGAGAGTAAAATTTATATCTTATGTGCCTATTTACTTGTTTATGGTATGCAAGAAACCTATTCAATAAATATCTGAATATATGATAAATAGAGGAATTTCTTTAGGTAACTCACATCTCTAAAATACAGGATATGATCAGTATATGACTATGTCTTTTACATTATAGTAGCTGTTAGCTACTAGTCAAAATGATGATTCTAAATAAAAAGGTAATCATTATCAGCAGTAACATTCTTCATCAACCAGTTAGAAGAATACTAGGGTTCTTCAGAATTTATTGGAATATGAGTATTATAAAAACAGTATGCATGAATTTTAAGATTTTTGCATCAAAATAAACTCAGACGTTAATTTTATTTTCCACAAACTTCCATTTTTAATTTTGAAGTCCCCAGACATATTACAGAGCTTTTCTTCACAGGCTGAAAAATCATTCCTGGCTACTTTTCAATGCTTCAGGATGAATTATCTAGAAATGAAAGACTAAGCAATGCCGACCCTGAGTTAAACCCTAATCACTACCTTCCATCTCTTATTTTCCCTTTATTCTTTGGTTCCATATTTCTTATAAAGTTCTTTATTCCAATATTCAACCTTTCCTGTGTTCTGTAGCTTCATCATCTTATCCCTGCTCTTCTTCTCACTAAATTTGTTTATTTTTTAAAAGAATTGTTTTATTGAACTTTATTTATTTCAATTTGGCCAGAGAGGGGCAGAGAGAGAGAGAGAGAGAGAGAAAGCAAAAAGCAAGCCAGCCCCAGGTCTGAGACTTGAACCATGGTTTGTCATGTGGGAGTCCAGCACCCTTAACCACCACACCACCTGCTGGCCCTCTAACTAAATGTAAATGTTCCTTGTTTTATAAGATGACAAAATACATTTTTGAAGATTTATTTATTTTATTTTATTTGTTATTATTATTCTTTTTTAATTTGACCAGAAAGAGTAAGGGGAAGTGAAAAAGCAAGTTGCCAGGTCTGGGAGCCAAACTGTGGTCAGCCATGTGGGAGTCCAGCACCCCAACCACCATGCCACCTGCCAGCCTGGCCATGCCACAATCCCTTCTCCTCCTTTCTCCTCTCAGGATCTTGGGCACACACACACACACACACACACACACACACACACACACACACCTGGTGTGAGTTTAAGCCACTGGGTCCGGTACTCAAACCACGGTCGACTAAATGGGAGTCCAGTGACATAGCCATTACGCCAACTGCTGGTCTCTCCGATAAAATATATTAATGGGAGGCTCCCATTCTAATCTGTGGCTATTCACTTTATTGTAAAGGTTCTGAACTCCCAATCTTATCATGGTATCATTGGAATGAGTTTTGGTTGGGCAGGGCCTTCTGGCACTCTAAATCAAATCATCTAGGTTAATAACTATGTGTCTAATTATTTTGGATGTCATTGCTGTAACAAGCAACAAATAATTAAGTGAAAAATGAGAAGGATAAAGAAAAACAAAAAACAAACAAAATAAAGGGAGTTAGGTCTTGATGAGTTATCTGTGGAAAGATACTCAAGGAGGGAACTAAAAATAAACAGAACACAACAAAAGGAAAGTTGAGAAGCAGTTATCCAGATTAAAGTTGGTTCAGTGGAAGCTGTTCAAAGACTAAAAGGCCCTTAATTTATTATTCATTTCCGAGAAGCCAGATATAAAAATTCTGTAGACTAAGAAAACATTTTCTTGGGACCAGCAGTTAGTGTAATGGCTGTGACGCTGGACTATTACCCATGTAGTCAACCGTGGTTTGAGTCCTGGACCTGGCGGCTTAAACTCACGCTGGGCGCATGTGCGTGCATGCCCAAGATCCCGAGAGGAGAATGGAGGAGAAGAGATTGTGGCGTGGTCATCTCCCCTGGGGGGATGATTTCTCACGCTTTCTGTCTCTCTCTTTCTGGTGAGCACATGCGCCTTATAGCAAAAACCTCTCCAAAAAAAATGTTGTTTTTATTTTTTTAAAGGTCTTTGCCATAGGCTGTGTGCAATCTCTAAAGAGAGAGAGAGAGACAGACGGTGAGATAGAAAGCGAGAAATCACCTCCCCACAGGGGGGATGATCACAACACAGTCTCTTCTCCTTCATTCTCCTCTAAGGATTTTGGGCATGCACACATGCATATGCATCCAGCATGATTTTCAAGCCACTTGGTCTGGAACTCGAACTGTAATTGACCATGTAGGATTCCAGGGCCTTAACCACCATGCCACCTGCTGGCCCCCTGACTTGATCATTAATGGTAATTTTTGTCTCATGTGCTGGCTTTAGACTGTAGAGCCTGCAGAAGGTATAATTCCACAATAATTCTCAATAAATTTTATCTTTCACTGCTTCTATTAGTAGCACATTAAATTTATTCTAACAATTGAAAAATATATCCCAATGTCTTATTTAAAATTAGTTAAGATTACATAACAACAAATAAAAATAGAAATAGCTTACTAATAACTGATAAGATTCTTCAATCCTTCTTATTGCCTTTAGAATAAAAATGCAACATCTATGCAGAATGTGTAAACTTTTTCATGAACTAGCTCCCTGTTAAGTATTTAAGACTCCATTCTCTATGTCTTCCTCTACTTTCTCTATCTGGCATGCCTATTAAAATGCATACTTAAAATCCTCCCCCCCCCCAGGTATTACATTGTTATATCTTTTTAACTTTGCATACACCTTCCTCTAGATTGAGAATGTCTTTCCTCTGACTTTATGTCTTTGCCTCCGTGAGTTTTTAAGATGAAACTTAAACCTCACTTCATGTAGAAATCTTTATCTCACTTCCACCCCCAGGTTGGGTGGTTTACTCTCATTTGTGCTGCTATAGAAATGCATCTACAGATGTCTCTGTCACATTGATTATGACTGTTCATTTACTATTTTTTTATATTCACCTATAAATACCATTGAAATGAGAAAAAATTATGTATGATTACATAATAGCAAATAAAAATAGAAATAGCTTACTAATAATTGAACATGTCATAAATTTATCTTGAGTCATTTCTTCAAATTTTTCTTTAGCTTTTTTGGACCACTTCATTGTCCTTTTACATGGTTCAATATAGGCCAGCTTACATTTAATTGCCTGTATCAAACGAAATTCTACAATTAGGAAAGTAAACTTAATTTCTAGTTATTTAAAATTAAAATTTTATGTAGTAGGTACAAAACTAATCTTTGTATTTGAATTTAATACATATTTAGAAACGATTGAATCAAAGTGTGAAAATGTCTATAACAGTACTTTATAACTGCAAATTAGAATCAGCAGGGTATATAGTTGAATGAATCACTGCACATTCTTATACTGGAATAACAAAAGCAATCATTAATAGATTATAGATGTTTATACTACAAGATAAGTGAGAAAATCAGGTTATAGGACTAGAGTTTGAGTCAGTAATTATTACAAACACAGAAGATAGAAGATGCATACTAGAAATATTTATATAAAAAATATTGTACAATAATTCAGAGAAATTTCTCTCTTTTTCCCCACCTGAATTTTCCAGATTTTTTCCTAATACTATCCATTTCTCAAGATAAAACATGGTCTTATAACAACTTGAATAGTGTAATAGTAGTACATAAATTAGAAAATAAAGTCTATTCTTATCTTTTTCTAGGAATCCTACTCCACAAAGATAAACAAGGTTTAAATTTTTTACAAAGCTTGTTCAAACTTCTTTTTCTATTATACATGCTGAAGCAGAAGTGCAATATTATATATAATTACTTATAAATAGAATCAAAGTAAAAGTAATTTTAAGATGAGCTTTTTTCACTCAATACATCACAAATATAGAACCCTTAACATTATATGCTATCTCAAAAGGATACACTAAAAATTGCAGACCAATAAGTACTTAATAAGACATAAATATACATATATTTAAAATGTTTTTATAAATAAACATTTAGACATAAATATACATATATTTAAAATGTTTTATAAATAAATTAACATTTATTTGCCAAGATATAAATATTATTTCTTAAATGGTAACTGTTTTAACCCCTACCTATAGTCCTTGTATCAGAAATTATTTACAAACAAAAATGGTGATTAATAGAACATTTTTATGGTGAAAATTACTTCTAAAGATACTTCCATACTTATACCAATATTCTAATCCTAGAGTCTATAATAAGTTGATTACCTTCTCTGGGGGATTCAGAAACTCATCCTTTATTTTACGCATCTCTTTAAGTGTTATTTTTGCAGTATTACCGAAATCCACATATTTAACTACAACTCCCCGATGTCCAGGCAATCCTTTAAAAGTTACGAAATCATAAATGATGAGTTTGGAAAGGAAACAATTATCTAGCAAAATTTAGAGTCACCTTCAGTTAAGTAAAATAGAATACTTTCGGTTTCAATATACAAACTTAATGCTTTTTCAAAAGGAAATATTTCTAATATGAAAATTTCAAATCACCCATAATACAGACTTGGTAGAATGAGAAACTATTTAAAAATAATCAAAGGTAAGCCAAACCAAGGAAACAAAATCAATGGTAGGTGATATGGCTTAAAAGTTAAGAATTAGACTTTGAGTCAGATTGACTGGAACAGAATCCTAACTAGATCACTGAAATGCTTTGTGACTGGAGGAACTAATTAATATCTCTAAAATATTACACTAAGCAAATTATTTTCTCCAAGCTTCATTACTTCATCTGTAAAATGAGTATACTAATAGAATGTAATCTCAAAACATTTTTTAAGTATCCCCTTATTTAAAAAAACCACTAGACAACTAGGATTCTCCTGTCCCCAGTGGGGCCTTTCGCCCAACAGGGAGGAGTTGACCACTGGAAACTAAAATGCCCTAAGCTCCAAAGGTAATCCAGGTCTTCAGAGCCCAAGATGGCCTCTAGAATGCAGGACTGATGAGCCTGAGAATCCCAATTGCTCCCCTTGGATATATAGAAATCTCATCAGATAAGCTTCAGGTAATCCTTAAAGTGACAAACAAGAATGTGTTAACATTCTTGCACAGAAAAACATAGAAAAATACATCATGACTTTTCCAACAACCTGATAATAATAATTTTTGTCAGAGCTAGTAGATGGCATAATGGTTACGTCACTGGACTCCCATGTAGTCAACCATGGTTTGAGTCCCAGCAGACCCAGCAGCTTAAAATTCACACAAGGCACGCTTACATACATGCCCAAAATCCCAATAGGAGAATGGAGGAGAAGGGATTGTGGCATGGTGATTTCTTGCTTTCTGTCTCTCCGGCAAGCACATGTGCCCTATAGCAAAAATATTTCTAGAAATAATAATAATTTTTGTCTAAATTAGAGGTTAAGGTTGTTTTCCAAAAGTAAACTTATAAAGAAAGGGAAATAAGGTGTGTGTGTGTGTATGTGTGTGTATTATGTCAGTAAGTAAAAAAGATGTGGTTTAAAGACAGTTAATGAGGGGCTCCATCGCTCATTTCCACCCCTACTTGTCTCTGGACTTCAGGTTGGTTTCTTGGGACTTCAAGACAAACTTGCACCCCACCCCCCAACCCCATCTGGAGACTGGTTCAAGGTAGCAAACAGTTCCGGACACCAGGCTGTCTGCGGCTGCAGGCCCTAATGGCCAGGACCTGTCGCTCATCCTCCATCCCTTCCCCACTTGCCTTTGGACTCTCTGAATTTCAGTGTTTTGAAAAGTGCGTAGCACACAATGCAGGCTGTGTGATTTTTTTTTTTTCTCTTGAGGTGTAGCTTATTAGGTCAGTTTGAGGCTCTCCACTCTTTAGAAACAGGGAGGACTTTGGGTCACCCAGGACCAGTGACAACAGTGCAAGGTACTGGTGAGCAACAGGTAGGCCAACCATAAGAGAATTCTGCACAACTTTAATCCTGCACAACTTTTAACACTCAGAGATACCTTGAATAAGTTAGGAAGGAACATATAGATCACCTAATTACTAGGAACAATCACAGAGTCTCAAGAAGTATGAGTAACTAACAAAAGGTCTCTCCCCCAAGGGAAATCATCAAGCCTATATCACCCACAGTCAATACAATGGATGTCGTGGACATGTCGGATAAGGAATTCAGAATATTTGTAGTGACCAAACTAACTGAGATGGAAGAGAAAATAGACAAGGAGTTCCAGGAGATGAGGAAGTCCTTTCATGATTTGAAAGAAGAAGTAGATACCTTAAACAAGAACCAGATGGAACTTCCCTGTCTCATTAAGGAAAAAAAAAAAATCCAAAGGTGTTTGGTTCTGACTCTTGTCTGGTTCTCTTTGCTTCATAATTCTGTGAAAGGGAAGCGAGGGTAATAGCCTTCCCTCATCAGGCTACTTTCAGCAAGTGGTTTGAATGACAGCCCAAGAATCTAGAATCCAATGTGACATGGTTTATCTTTCAATCCCTTCCTAGTTTTTCTGACCCTATTCGAATTTCAATGTATGTGCGCTTTTCAAAGAAGCCAGTAGGCGTGGGAACGGTCGTTGGTTGTACTGAACCTCTGACAGTAAACAGTTTTGAAAGAAAACTACAGTTCTGAAATATCACAAAAAGTGCCCCTCGGAAAAGAATGATGAGAATTAGCTTATAATTTATGCTTCTGAAGTGAGGTATAAAGCAGGTCAATTTGTTCCAAAGCGTTGGTGCAATGCAAGAAATGTGTGATATACCCTTTTCTGAGTCTTGGAGCTTTTTTTAACCTGTCTCCTTCCTTCTCCCACTAAACCTCTACAAAGAGAACCCCACGGGCATTTTGTATTTACATCACCACCCCCAACCTGCCTGCCCCCCTCAACCTCCCTCACCCCCACACTTAGCATTTAGTGGAGGGCTTCTTGGTCAGAGTCGCTCAGGCTATTTGCCAAATCCAGTGCAGATGCTATTCATTCCTTATCTTGCTTCTGTATCTCTGTCCTATTCACACTCTCAACCTTCTGAAATTCCCCTTTGGCTTCCTCCTACTCTCTCCTGGCCAGCTCTAATCTTTTGCACCATTGTTCCTTAGTATCCTTCTGGAGCTATTCTTGACCCTTCATTCCGCTCCTTTGTTTGTGATCCTAGTCTTCCATCCTTACATTTTAAAAAAATGCACAAAGGCCTTCACAAATTCCATCCACCAGAGCCAAGTGCTGAAGGAGAGCAGCAGGGAACTTCTCCATGGGTGTTCCCCTGCTACACAGGTAGGCTTTGGGATTCTTTTCCTGCCCCACAACCCCCACCATTGCATTCACAATTCCATCTGCGGGTGCAGCAGAAACAGAGAGACCGCTGCTTTCAGATCGCACAGTTTAGTAGCCTGCACATTGTGCACAGCCCAGCACATGGCTTCAGCTTCTTTCATAGTTACGTATTTCCACCCAGGCCCAAGTGCATCTCATCCTGAAAGGTCGTTACAGGATCCAAACACCTGAATTTGTCTAGACACGGGACGCTCTGGTGGAAAGATGCAACCCTCTGCTAAAATCACACCTGGGGGATGTTTAGAACAGAATTATTCTAAATAGGAAGAAGCACGTACTTCATAAGATGACTAAAAACCAGTGCAAATCGGCAATGAAAGAGGCAACATTACAACAGACATAATAGAAATACAAAAGATCATGAGAGAACACTACATGTGACTCTATACCAAAAACAAGAAAACCTACACGAGAGGGACAAATTTCTGGGCACATATAATCTACCAAGATTGAACCAGGATGACATAGAAAACCTGAATAGACCCATAACAAGCCAGGAGATTGTATCAGTAATAAATAACCTCCTGACAAAGAAAAGCCCAGGTCCAGATGGCTTCACTTCTGAATTCTACAAAACTTTTAAAGAAGAGTTCATCTCTATCCTACTCAAATTCTTTCTTTCTTTTTTTTTAAAAGAATGATTTATTTAAGTTGTATTTATTCATTCATTTACTTTAATCTGACAAGAGGGAGACACACACACACATACACGGGGGTGGGGGGTGTGAAGTGAGAAAGTAAGCCACCAGGTCTGGGACTCAAACAGTGGTCGGCCATGTGGGACTGTCCAGTGCCTTAACCACCAAGCCAACTGCTGGTCTCTCTACTCAAATTATTTCTAAAGATTCAAAAGGAAGGAAACCTTCCAAATTCATCTTATGAAGCATCCA